ATTGTGGTTGTTACTTGTTTCACCTTGTTATACATATTAGTAAAAACTGTTATTCCCTTTTATCCATATTCTTGCCTGAAAGCCTGTGATTTTTTAAAGCTGTAATAATTCGGAGGGAAGTGGGGGTGGGGGGGGAGTCATATCCACCAATCCAAGGGGGGTCCCTGCCTTCATTGGCAAGCACCTGTCTTTTAAACCAAGACATTGTCACAGACAATAATACTGAACCTCTTTAAAAGCAGTAATGCAGTAAAYATGCATCATAAAGTCTACTACATACTAAGTAAGTCATGATCCTCCCAAGGAACCAAGAATGGCAAAAAATGGACTAAAGGAGATAACATGCTGCAGGCTGCATTCAGTCATCAACCCTGGACAGTTATATACCATGAACATCTCGGACTTCTCAAGTTTTTACCCACTGACAGACTGTCTCCAGAATCCCACTAAGTTTGCAATAGTCAGCCTCACTGTCAAGACACAGCCTCCCTCTCAGCTCATGTTTTGAGATTTGGTGATACAGGATTTGCTTCAAATGCAAACAAAAGTGGCTGTTTATGCAGGATGCACTGATAAAGGAGGCAGTGACACAAGCACACCCAGTTTCCTGAGGTTTCGTCTTTGGCATTGCCAGTATGAGAAAAAATTGGCTAGATGACACCACTTATGACCCTCAACACCATCAAGTCTATCACTCAACTAGAGCCTCTGACATTGAATTCAGAGCAATTCAAAATTTTCAGAGGTTCAGGCTGGTACAGCCAGGTAAAGTTTGCCAGTACCACTCAACTCAACTTTTGTCTCAAAAGCCTGTCTAAAACTTGCGTGTATTCTCCAAGATTTCAAGGGATGACTGCTAGAAGTCCACTCATATCAGGAGAAACTTTTCTTCAATTTTGGTGGTGAATGGACTGGACTCTAGCTTAAGTATTATTAACATTTAATGACTTAARTTCTTCATGCTCAAAACAGAGGAATTAATAAACAACAGCCTTCCCACAATTGAATTTTACAGAAAAGGAAACTGAGGCAGCATTTCTAGAGTTGTTTTTCCCAACAAAGTAGGCACAGATGGAGCCTAAAGAGCATAGGGCTTCTAGCTGCCAGCCTGGTGTTCTGGAAATGAAACTGCCCTTCTACTAATAATAGTAATATAGCCTCCCTTTTTAGAAGTACTATATGAAGTATGTCATACAACTCTCGCTGATTCATAGGCTTGCATCACTCTCAAAACAAATGATCAATTAAAGTTCTCATGTTGCTGCAAGGTTTGATTGCTTTTAACAGTTGCACAATCAATTTTCAAAATTAATTGCCACATGAAGTTAGTCTGCAGAAAACCCTTTCCTACTACTAGTACATTTCTTTTCACTTCTAGACAATCTATTTGAAAAGCAAAACCCTTAGATCATTCTACAGCTAAAATAACACTCTATGAGAAAAAAAGTTTATCTTTTTCAAGCTTTGATTTTGTTCTACCCACTCAGCCATGCTGTCAATAGTGAAGCACTTCTGATTGAAAAGCAATTCTTCTATGGAGAAACATATATATCTAAATATCTGCGCTTTTGAATTTCATATTCTACATACATTTTTAGGCTCTGCCCAGCTATTCTGTATGACTTCATAAGTTTAAAAAGTTTCCGCCCAAGCGGTGGAGAGAGTAACTACTTCTGATAGAAACACCAGCTGCAACTTCCATGCCACCTGCCCCTCTCCCATCCACAAAGAAATGCCACAGAGGCATTTGTGGGGCACAGCAAACCATATGGTATCCCACTAAATTCCTGGTCAGTCCAGAGGTCTCCATGGAGTTACAACCATGGTCTTCAGAAACAGACTGCAGACAACACTGACATATACCTCAGGCCATTTTGGCCCCTGGCAAGTGCAGCTCTGTTTTCAATGGAATAATGCCAGCTCACATTTCGGTATCTGGCTTCAGCATGCAAACATAGGGCAATTCTAATAATTGCCCCATAAAATAATTCTAATTTCATCAAAATATTTTTCCCATGCTTGAGAGAGGAATGTGTCTGTATCAACTTATTACACATAAATATATCTATATAGTACAGTTGAATAGTACAACCTTACATGTGTGATTTATTAAGACAAAGAATTAAAAATTTTATAAGGTCTGATTTTAAAGTTTTTATGTGAACACAAGGTGTGAAATAATTTTCGTGTTATACTCTGACAGATAAATTTATGTTCTTAGAAGTGTTTCACATATACAAATTATTCTCCATAGTTGTTCCTGAAAAGTCAATGTCTACATATCCACAAATGTAATGAAAAATAAGCGCTTTCAACTTGACTGGGAGAGCAGATGACCAGGAAGGCAGAATATGTGAGTGCCTCCTGAATGAGTTTTAATGGTGCCAGGGTGATCATAATTTATCAAGTTCCTACCATCCCAAACCTACTACATTGTCATCCTAGACAGTGGTTTTGGCAACTGTTTCCAGAATTCAAAATGTCTAGCTTGCACTCATTTTTAATGGATTTACTGTCTACTTCCTAACCTATTATTCTGAATTTTGTGACAATAAAATATAGTTCAATTACAGATTGAACATGGCTAAAAATGGCATGAAGGGAATGAATAAAGCAGCCTAGCATACTGTTAATGAGATTAGACACCCACTCACAGTACTTAAAATATTAGACCTATATGTGGATGCTTCAAAAAGAAAACCAAACAAACACAATTGTCACAATTCTTTGCAGACAGTTAACTTGGGCTGGACAGGACTCACTTCTCAAAGTGATTTTTTTCCTAGGAGTTAATTCTATGATGGGAACAATTATTTCTGGTTTGTATTTCGCTGGTGAGAGAAGCAAGCTGCCACTGTAAGTCCCATCTCTGAGGACTTGTTCCCAGGGTTGATCAAGATTCATTTACAGGACCAGCAACCCAAGAGAATTTCATGTAGAATATTTACTCACGTGGGTTTCATTTGTCATCATTTCCTGCAAGATCCCAAGYTGTGTCAAACTACCATTGAGACTACTGGACCTGTGTAAATTGGCACACTGCTTGACAAGGCTGGCCAGGTATGAAAATATCCCTTCACTCTCTGTGTATGCTGACCAGATGGGATGGTGCACATAGTGCAGGAGCCTTTCCTAAAGTTTTAAAAGTCTCCAAGCAGCACAGACAATACATGGAGGACAAAAGTATGTACTTGCTTTCTACCAACATCTTATTCTTGTAAATCAGCTTCTAGGAACAAAGACTATGGAATATTATTAACTGTCTTTCCTATTTTTCTTTTTATTCCTTTTTTTTTTTTTTTTTTTTTTTTTTTTTT